CCCTTTCTTATAACTGACATGTAACACCCTTTCTTATAACTGGCATGTAACACCTAATGATACCAGCTCATTAATCATGCAGTTGCCAGGAGCTGTCTTCTATAAATTGGCACGCCATCGCATCGAGCTTCATCATTTCCCCGTAAAAAGAAAGAAATTATCAAATTCAACAGTGACGTTTGTATCTTGCTTTTGACTGTTATTGTACTCTTTCTTCCTCGCAAGCCAGCTAGGGTTAATCTCTTTCTTTTGTTCTTTTTAATAAATGCAGGGATTTGATGTCAGTTACTAGCAGATTGATTCTGATGTGTTGTTGGTATCATCCCCCCCAGTGATTGTTGCTCTAATTAGACTACGTTTGTTCATTGATGATGGTGTTAATGGCTTTTGATGCCGCGCAACTGAAGAGAAATCCTTCTTCGGGTAATTTTGGGTAGAAATACATAGGAGTAAACTATTCATGGCAGACTTGGAATTGTAAAAAATTTATTTGTTTTGTTAAAACTTAATATATTTTATATATTTTAGATTGTTTTGATATATTAATATGACCATTTTGATATAATAATATGAAAAATATTTTTTAAAAAATAAAAATATTATCACTATTTTAATATAAAAAATTATTTGAAAAACAATTATAATTATATTACTAAAGTTAAAAAATAATAATTTAAACACTTTATTAATATTTATTTGTTAAAAATTTATAAGGTGTTTTGTTTAAATTATATTATATTTTTTAATATTAGTATATTAAAATCAGTAAAAAAACATTTAAAATTATTAATTTCATATTTTTTAAATAAAATTGTTTTAAAAATAATATATTAACATATTGACAGTACAATGTGAGAGCAATCAGGGCACGGAAAAATGTACACCTGCTCTGATGAAATTTTAATATCACATTAATCATCGTTATCTTTTTGTTGAAAACTCGTGCAGTTTATTTTAAATCTCTCTTCTTTTATTCAATATAATATTCTGAATATATGATAATTATAAAATAAAATAAAATAAAATAATTTTATTTTAACAAAATGGTGAGAGGGATGTAGTTATAGTTATTTTTTAAAATATTTTTTATTAAAAAATATAAATAATATTTTTTTATTTTTGAAAAATTATTTTTGAGATTAATACATTAAAATAATTTAAAAATATTAAAAACATATTAATTTTTAAAAAAATCAAATTATTTAAAAATATTTTTTAAACATAATATCACACACACCCTAAATACTAGTGGAATAAAAATAATCTAAATAATTAGTTAAATGAAAATTCCAAAGACAAATATTTTATCTTTTACGTTTTTTTATCCAACTTCTTTTTTTCCCTCCAGATGGGTGAGGTGCTGATCATTTATTTATTTACATACAAAGACCAGATTATAATTTTAGTCTAGCTAATATAGAGCGTCTTATCTTCAAAAGAAAAGAGGAAAGAATGGGAGGTTAAAAAAATAAAATTATATATAGCTTATTTTAATTATCATCTCTTAAAAAACATAGACCTGCAAGACTCAAAAGTAATCCTTGCACGTATGGCATTTTAGTATATCCTTAGTTCACACACACACACACGTGTGTGTATTAAACCTTAATTTTTTTTTTAATTTTTTATCTTTTAAAAAAAGAGAGGAAGTAACCTTATTCATGATTATTATAAAACGAAGATAAAATCAAATTATTTTCTTTTAACAAGTTGGCAAGACGAGGAGGGTCGTAGTTGTAGTTATTTTTTAAAATATTTTTATTTAAAAAATATTAATTATATATTTTATGTTTTAATATTTTTGTTAAGATTAACATATTAAAATATTAAAAAATATTTAAAATATATTATTTTAAAAAAAATTAAATTTTTTAAAAAATATTTTTAAAATACCGTATTAAACATATCCTAAATACAATGCTAATTAACTAAAAATAATCTAGATAACTAGTTAAATAAAAATTCTAAAGTCAAATATTTTATCTTTTACGTTTTTTATCTAACTTCTTTTTTTCCCTCTAGGATGGGTGAGGCGCTGATCATTTATTTATTTAGCATACAAAGACCGGATTATAATTTTAGTCTAGCTACTATAGATCGTCTTTTCTTCAAAAGAAAAGAGGAAAGAATGGAGGTTAAAAAAATAAAATTATATATAGTTTATTTTAATTATCATCTCTAAAAAAAAATAGACCTGCACTGACTCAAAAGGAATCCTTGCACGTATGGCATTTTAGTATACCCTTAGTTCACACACACACACACACGTGTGTGTATCAAACCTTAATTTTTTTTTTTAATTTTTTATCTTTTTAAAAAAAGAGAGGAAGTAACCTTATTTTTAGAAATATATCACGAATATTCATTTATAAAAAGAAATGAATGAACAGAGAGGGACAGGTAGCTCGGATAACATTCAATTCAATTCAGAAATAGGTGTAGCTGTAAAATCCCGAAAGGACCCCTCCGACAGATAGGATTGAATCGATCCAAGCTAAGCCAGGAAATCAAATCACGAAAAGCGCGCTTTCTCTTTCAAAACAACTAACGGTCCAGATCTGGTCTTCAACCTCCCCCATCACTTGCACCTTCCTATTTATATAACCTTTCCTTCGCTTTCAGACCTCTAATAAAAAAGATTTCTCTTTTCAAGAGCTCATACTTATAACCTTCTTCTTATTTTGATTTGTCTGTGAATTCATTGTGCTCTCTCAGCACATAAAACAACAATGTCAACCGAGAAGGAGAGGGAGACTCATGTTTACATGGCCAAGCTCGCTGAACAGGCCGAGCGCTATGACGGTAACTCTATTTCTCGCTCCTTCACCGTTTCTTGGGGGCAGGGCATTTTTTTTTTTGGTTAGATGGATCGTTTTTAGACAAATAAATTATACTGCATGTCCACATTTGTCTTTTATGACACAGATAGATCATTTTATTTTTATTTACTTTAATTTATGCCCATTTTCTCTGAAATCTAATTTAAATCTGAATATTGATGGGACAGAGATGGTTGAGAGCATGAAAAATGTTGCCAAACTTAATTGTGACCTGACTGTGGAGGAGAGGAACCTCCTCTCGGTGGGATACAAAAATGTAATTGGTGCTAGGCGGGCTTCTTGGCGGATCATGTCTTCAATTGAGCAGAAGGAAGAATCTAAAGGAAACGACAGCAATGTTAAACTGATTAAGGGATACCGCCAGAAGGTAGAGGAGGAACTCTCCAAGATTTGCAATGACATCTTGTCTATCATCGATGACCATCTGATCCCCTCTTCCGCCTCAGGAGAAGCAACCGTGTTCTACTACAAGATGTGAGTTATGTTGGCCTTGAGACCTAATCTTTTATTACTTTTATCCTCGATCCTGCAGCCAGTTTTTTATGTTTTGCTCTTTGCATCCTATTTCCTATACATGAAAAGGGGAAATGTTTTCTCTCCATCTAATTACTTGTTACTTTTCCTGCCTCTTGAACAAGTGGCGCGCACAAGGGGCATAAATTTCCTTTTGCTGATTCATCCCCTGGTCCTGCTTGTCAACAAGTCTAAGCAGCAATTTCATGAATTGTGTAATGATTTGTTATGTTCTCAGTCAATTAGTTCCCAGAAGTATTTTATGTAACATGGCATGAACGTAGTGATATATATATAAAGGCCTTCTTATATTTTTATTTCGTAAAATATCGGGTCATGACATCCATGAATTTTCAGGAAAGGTGACTACTACCGCTATCTAGCTGAGTTCAAGGCTGATCAAGAAAGGAAGGACGCAGCCGACCAGTCATTGAAGGGTTACGAGGCATGTTTCTTTGGTTTCTCCTTCATAAATATATTCAGAGTATTATTCCATTTATGCGGCGTCCTCTAATTAATTTTATCATCATCTGATATGTTCCTCCTGTTACCATTTCTCTCTTAGGCCGCTTCTGCCACTGCAAGCACTGATCTGCCTTCAACCCACCCAATTCGTCTTGGCCTTGCCCTTAACTTTTCTGTTTTCTACTACGAGATCATGAACTCTCCTGAGAGGCATGTCAGATTATATTTTTTTGCAATCAAGGCTGCTAAATTGTATTATCCTGTGCTCATGACTTCCTAATGATCTACTTTTTAATGTCAATGCTTGCAGGGCCTGCCATCTGGCCAAACAAGCTTTTGACGAGGCAATTGCAGAGTTGGACACTTTAAGTGAGGAATCATACAAGGACAGCACCTTAATTATGCAGTTGTTAAGAGATAACCTCACTCTCTGGACTTCTGATTTGCCTGAAGATGGAGGTACATTTGTAAACTGAATGAGGAATTGAGTCTTATTTGCATTATATTATGTGGAAAGCATGGTGAAAACTGGACCCAAAAAAAAACACCGTCGTTACAAAATCATGGCCTCACTGAAGTCGGGCCCTGGCTAACCATGTTATACTCTTTGGTACTCAGCAATCAGGACTCGATCACCATTGAAAAGTAAGAGGAGAGGAGGACAATTGGCCACCTCTCATATTTTGGCCCCATTTAGGGATGAGTTCTATATCTCTGTACCTTAGATTGGCTCCCATCAAGGCGTGCCGTTGGTTAAAATTCATGAATAAAAAATCGTGCTTGTTAAAACTGGATCTCAGAAAAGTTGCATTATGTAGGTGATGATGACTTCAAAGGTGAAGAGTCAAAGGAAAAACCTGCCGAAGTAGAGGTCAGTTCTCGTATAACTGCTTCTATTGAATGAAGTAAACATCTGGTTTTTTCCCGCTGCCCTGCTAAGAATATAATTTTTCCGCAGCACTGAGGGGGGATCTGGGAACAATGCACATGGCAAGTGGATACCAAACTCCTTTGCAGTTTGCAGAAGTGGGCATCTTTTTATTAGCTTGCCTGGGCAGGGATTCGAGGGAACAGTCATGACAGTTTTTGATGCCACTGCTCTTTTTGAATCCTACAAAAAGCTGATGTTATCTATTGCTCTTCCTTTTTACTTCTTTCTTTTATTCTAAACAGAGTTTTTCGTTTTAATTTGTTTTTATTCATTGTTCTTGCACGCATAAACTTCATATCAAAATCGTGGACCTCCTTTATTTTACCTTCTGTTATTACTTCTGTTAATTGGATACCAATTGAGGAGACCTATAATTTAATAAATATCAATTGATATACCATTTTGTAAAAAAAAAATTATGAAAACCTGTAAAACATTATGCTTTGAAAAACATTTACTATGGACAACTGTGTGATCCAATTTCAATTTTATCTTGCTGGTTTAAGATTTCCATGACCTTTTGAACATCTAATGATTCAGCAATCTTTTCTTAAAACAGGTTTACATCAAGGCATACCATTGGTTAAAATTCGTGAATAAAAAATCGTACTTGGTAAACTTTATCTCAGACAAGTTGCATTATGTAGGTGATGATGACTTCAAAGGTGAAGAATCAAAGGAAAAACCTGCCGAAGGAGAGGTCAGTTCTCGTATAATTGCTTCTATTGAATGAAGTAAACTTCTGGTTTTTTCCCGCTTCCCTGCTAAGAATATAATTTTTCCGCAGCACTGAGGGGGGAGCAGGGAACAATGCACATGGCAAGTGGATACCAAACTCCTTTGCAGTTTGCAGAAGTGGGCATCTTTTTATTAGCTTTCCTGGCCAGGGATTCGATGGAACAGTCATGACAGTTTTTGATGCCACTGCTCTCTTTGAATCCTACAAAAAGCTGATGTTATCAATTGCTCTTCCTTTTATTATAAACAGAGTTTTTCGTTTTTTTTTTAATTTGTTCTTATTCATTGTTCTTGCACGCATAAACTTCATATCAAAATCGTGGACCTCCTTTATTTTACCTTCTGTTATCATCTGCCCAGCTTGTCATTTATCAATTTTTTTTTTTTTCGTGTAATGGTAACCTTAAATCAGCTTTTGTACATCAATAATTTTTTTTTTTTCCTATCGAATGGTTATCACACTTGGATGCATTTACACTAAAATAATTTTATTTTGATCCTTCATAGATTTAAATCTTGGACGATAATATCACCAGACCTAATAATTTTTTTTATAAAAAAAACTAAGAGTTATATATTTGGTGATGGTTGTACCATCAACATCTACTCAAGTCTTGACAAGCACTGAAAATATATATTTAAAAATTAATAAAACATAAGTATGATATTTCTCGAAAAAAATAATATTACGCACTTTATAGTAATAGATTATATATTATTAATGTCTTTCTATTTGAAAAGTAATCGAATCCTTTAAGAATATATCAATGTTAATCTTATTAGGATTATCGTAAGTGATGCTATATAACAAGATTTTCATATAAATGATAATTACTTATGTTAATTGGATACCAATTGATGAGACCCATAATTTAATAAATATCAATTGATATACCATTTTGTTAAAAAAAAAAAAATTATGAATATCTGTAAAACATTATGCTTTGAAAAATATTTACTATGGGCAATTGTGTGATCCAATTTCAATTTTATCCTTTTAGTTTAAGATTTACATGACCTTTTGAACATCAAACGATTCAGCAATCTTTTCTTAAAACAGGTTTGCATAGAACAGCGTAGATTTCCAAAAGTAAATTATGACATCATATTTGAACCCTTTTAAATCTAACGATATTATATTTCTCTGTCTATCATCTTAATCTTTCCGGTGTGAGTCTTCAATCAACTACAATACGCCCCTTAACTATTAACTAGAGCTTTTGGCGGACAGCATTTTCGAAATATTGTTTTTTTTATTGACTTAGTTTTTTTTATTAGAGGTATTTAAGAGTGTGGTAATGTTTTAAGAGTGTGCTAATATTTGTGATTTGAAGTGTTTTTTATTTGAAAATATATTAAAATAATATTATTTTATTTTAAAAAAATTATTATTAACATCAGCATATTAAAATAATTTATAAATATAAAAAAATTAATTTCAAACAAAAAATGTTTTTAAATTTTTTAAAAATATAATTTCAACAATGTTCCCAACAAAAAAAAAATCTGAATATGTAGAACATTATATGTATTGAGTTTGGAAGAATAGACAGTAAAAAACTTGAAAACGTGACCAAAAGAATATTGAAAAAAAAAATTCAGGGGGAAGTTTTCAACTTTCAAAATGAGAGTTACGGATGTTGAAATGGAAAATAACTAATTTATAAGGTATTGATTGTTTTTGAAAATATTTTTATTTAAATATTATTTTTTATTTTTTTAAATTATTTTTAATATCAATATATTAAAATTATCTATAAACATCAATAAAATTAATTTAAAATAATTTTTTTTTTTTTTTGAAAACGTGGTTTTGCAGTGTGTTGCGGTGTATTTTGTTTTTTTTCAAAGCAAACGACTTGTGATTTCACAGTAGAAACAAATCACAAACGAGTAAACGATCGCCATTTATCCTTGCAGCCATGCAGTAATTTTAAAAAAATTTATTATTTTTCTTCAAATTATTATTTTATTTTAACATTCTAATATTAAAAATAAATTTAAAAAAAAAACAAATATTTTCAAACAAAAAATACTTTATAAAACAACCATTTCTAAAAACTCGAAATCATTTGAGATGAGAACCATCCTTACCTCCTTGTCCTCATTATTGTTAGACCCTCACCCAACCTTGCTTTTGCCGTCTTCTAAACTCAGGATATCAGGCTAAAGCTTTGGCCCCAAAATCTCTTCCCCTACCAAAATTGCAAAACCATAAATATATGTGTGACAACAATCAAAACCCACTGAAAAATGACAGCGGCTGAGAAGGTAGATGGCACTATATTAACCAGCATTTACATATTTATCTTGCTTGACGAGCCATGAAGAAAAAAGAAATAAAATAAAAAGGATCATTCACAATGTCCTTCTAGAGATTCCGAGCAACATTGATTTCCTCTCAAATATGACGGAGAAAAATGCTCGCAACCAGGATTGTTGTGAGAAGTCCTGAAGGGAAGATGTGGATGAAAACTGGCTATTTCACTCTTCCTTGACAAAATAATTTTGGGGCAAGGAAAAATCTTCCTCGTGATTCAGAATTTCTGCTTCTTCGTCATCTGGTTTCTGAAATTTAAATAGAAACGTGCCGAAATCAATGCACAATATATATGTTCTCGTAACAAGAACAGATGAGATTATAGGTAAAAGCAAAAGCAGAAAAACTACATGACATTCTCAAGGCATAGACTAAAATGCTTGATTTCACAAATACTTCAATCCTCAACTGGTAGCACTATATTTCATCATCCAACTTCACAGACATAGTTTAAAAATTTGAGCTCCATTCCTTCTATACAAAACAGTACAAGGTTTAGCAATGGGAGAGTCAAATTTATTATCAAATCTCCAGCATTTTATTTAAAATGAATTTGCAGTGGCATAGTATCTGAAATGAATTATTTGCTGTGCTGAGAATTGCTGCATTGTATTTGTAACATAAAAATGAGAAGTAAGAGACGTCCCTGAAATCAGTACCAGCATTTCAATGTTATAGAAACGGTCTAGCAACTGCAAAACCTCATCCGGAGAAAATTGTCGATCAAAGCTGTGATAGAGTGATCAATGTGTTAAATCATGTAAATGGAAACTATTAGAAAAGGAAATAGAGTAAGAGGCAGAACAACCTTCTCCGGAGAAATTCCATCAAACCATAAAGTACAAAGTGGCGATGCATGCCTGCATGAAAAGATTTTTCAAATATTTTAAAATAATAAAGAAACAAATGAAAGTAAAAGTGGAACAAGAGGTATCTATATTGTCTCATTAATAACTCAAGGTGAATTCATTGCTAGATATGACTGTATTTGCCTCGTAAAACTTCTCACATGGAAAGTACTGATCTAGCTAATTTCTTCTCGAACATACATGCTTTGTATCCTTATCATTAAGACAAAATAACACCTCAACAGCTTGATACCAAACTGCAAATTTCCAGCACAAAATTCTTCACAACAATAGAATTATCACTGCTAAATAATAGCAAATGAAGAAAATTCCTCAAAACTCCCAGCAAATAGCATCATCATCTAATCACATAATGCTCAACATATGAAATTCAATTCCACAAGCTGTTACAATAGCCACACTGACATGTTCATCATACATGCAATGTGCATTTTCCATTCAACTCTTAATTCAATCCATACAATTGCTGTTGCAGAAAATGTGACAAAACAACACAATTCCTATTTCAAGGTGATCAAATACCCCGTGATGGAGAGAATTGAGCTACACATAACTAGATAAAACTGAAACTGGAGATGAAATTCGAAGAACCTGCCTCTTAGTTTGACTGGAGGATAAATTTCAAGTCCTTCTAAAAGTCTTAGCTCCAGTTCCACCTGTGATTGCTCCTAATTAGCCCCAGAGAATTAAAAAAAAAATAATCCAGGTAAAATTCCACGCGCAAAAAAACAATATATATATATATATATATGAGATATAGAGACAGAGATACCTTGGGGAGAGAGGAAGCAGAGGAGGGAGGAGCTTTGCATGGAGAATGTACGGACATTCCGTCTTGTTCCTCTTCCCTCTCATTTCCATTTTCACCAACCCCGCCTTCCATCTGAGCTCTGATTTTTCTTATTTATCTATATTTTGTGTTTAAATTGTTTCAGTGTTTAAAATTGAAAAGTGAAGGGAATTTCTGTTGTTTATTCTCTAGGGTTTTAGCGTTTGATCCAAATTACAGAGAGTCTGAAGCGGAAGGTGTTGACTGTTGAGATGTTTGGGCTTTTGGGCCAGTTTGTATTTTATTCTGCCTTGGGTAGAGCAATGGGCTAGGCTTGTAATGTTCTAGTTTCCAAACTCGAAGCCGTGGATTTGATAATGGACCATTCTTCTTCTTCTTCTTCTTTGACAGAGAGAGATGCATGTAATGGGGCATGGAAAATAAAAACAATAAAATTAAGATAGTTTAATTTATTTGATTTAATAAATAGTAATGATTTTTAATTTTGATTAAAAAATCAGTTATAATAAAAGATGTTCGGAAGTCATAAGTCGTGTTTGCTATTGTGTTGTCCTATGAGATTAAATCTCAATATTTGCTAATGAATTGGTGTATTGTGTTGTTAATAAAATTATTTAAATTAAAATTATCATTAAAAACATAACTTAAATTAATGAAATTCTTTTGAAAAATGAATGGATTACTTGGGAAGTGAATTATTTCTTTAAAACACACGAATATCACAAGAAAAAATGAGATAGAAAGAAACGGTAATAAAAACATTGCATGTTTTTTTAGTAAATATAACTAGTTTTTGCTAGAAAAATAAATAGAATTGCTAAGTAATCTAGTCTAATCAAGATCCACACAAAACAAGAAATAACATATTTAAAATAAAATAACTAGGGTCAGATAATTTAAAATATTTGATATATAACAATGATTGAGGATGGTCAAACTTCCTATAATATACAAGCTTGCGGCTACGGCAACTTTTAAAGCAAATTGTGTATTTCAATACATTTGTTAACATTAAAAACTCAAATTGTTGTGTTTGTCTGCACTATTGAAATCGCCTGTTTGATAAAAGTACTATTAGCTACTTTTCATGCGGCTGCATCCATGCCAATGTATTAATTTACTGAGGTACTGTTTACTTCAATAAATAATAATTATTTATTGTACGGCGTTTGGTTTAATAATTTTTTTAGAATTATATTTTATTTAAGCATGCAATAACATCAGAAATAAAATCAAGATTGCGATCTCTGTCTAATTTATTATTACCATCATTAAATAATGTTAAACACTAATTTTTAAATAAAAAACAATTAAAAATAAAAAAATTAAATTTTTTATTTTATTTTATTAGTTCGGATAAGTTGTTAGTCATGCTTTAAAATAATATTTTTTTTATTTTATAAAATTTATTTTTGATATCAATATGTAAAAACTTAATTTAATTTTTATTTTAAAAAATCACAAAATAACAATAATTTAAACATAACCGTAATCATCATTTCCAAGTAGAAAGTTAAGGATGGCTTGGCATTGACATATAGAGAAAAGAATCTATATGATAATAGAGTATAATAAATTACTTTTATCTAAGCATATATACCTGGCACCCCATGTATTTAATTTATTATGATGGGTAGAGCTTGTATAGAATGAGAGCTCAATTATTTACTGAAACAAGCAGAAAGCATGTGAAAAGTAGCCCTTGATTGCTTCTTCTAACCTCGGGCTTGCAACGGAGTAAATAATGAGACTCATGAATAATAATAATTTTTTTTTTTTTTGCTAAATGTTTGGCTCCTGTGTTTTGTTTCAAACACGACCGCCACCTCTTCACACAAATGATTTTATAAATATTAAGTTAATTTCAATTAAAAATATTTTTTATAAAATAATATTTTAAAATCACAACTATAAAAATTACTATAATATGAAATATATTAATACTTAATAGGTGGTCAAACAATCCTTTAGTAATAAGCGTTTTTTTTTCCCTTTTACAGGACGTATCAAGAGTTATGTTATTAATTAATAATTTTATAATTAAGGTCCAGCATCAGGTTAGTTGCTTTTTTATTTTATAAGACAAGAATTAGATCTTGAATTCGGTGTTTAAAGTCTGCCCTGATACATAATTTCAATACAAGTTTTTTCAGGTTTTTATCACAATTTATCTCTTTTTTCAATTTAATTTGTGAGTTATTTATAGTTTTATGCTTTGCTTTCCATGCAATTTACTTTCTTAAGTTTATTTTTATCCTTTCAGTCTTATGTTTTATTTATCTCTAATTATTTATTTATATATTTATTTCCTTTGCATGGTTTTAATTTACTTATTGCGTTCACTTTCAATGCAATTTAATGTCTTTTTAAGCTTGGCGTGAACTTTATACAGTTTCTCATGATAAAAATTTTCATGATTTAGATTGTGTACGTAAGCTAATGGATGACTTCTTGTTGACAAGTCAACTCGACTTGTAATTTATGTGAACTGTCGCATATTCATCGTGATATTGATCTATATGATGTCGTTTTGATTTCTTTGATGGATCACTATGATGTCGTTTTGTTTTCCCTGCTTCATAAATCATCAGCAAAGTATATATAATAATTGGGCTCGGTCCATGCTGAAGTAAGGAGAAAAAAAACGAGATATTTAAATGGGCCATCCATGCTGTGAATGACCAATATTAAAGAGCGCAAGTACTCAAGGTACCTGCCAGCTGGCAACATCAGCCACTTGGCCATTTTGCTGCCTCAAAAAACTCGTCAGGGGACATAACTCAAGAGCATCCAAGCGGTATCCTGAAAATAAAAATTTCTTCTGCACTCCACGGTGGTTATCACAATAATTAAGTTTTTTTTTTTAAAAAAAAAAATAACGATGCCAATGAGTATGTAGTTGAAGTGACTGTAAAATCCATCTTCTTCTAAAAGATCTTGTGTTCGAGCTCTTTTTTAATAATAAAAAAATTAACAAGTGTTTTAACCATTAGATTAATTAGCATTTTAAAGTCAACAGTAAGCACACACACATAACAACAACAAGAAATTATATTTTTCAACATAATCAACGATTAAAACTCATTTTCTTATGATATAAGAACATGCTTTTGATTACAAGCCATTCCCAGGTCACTTATATATATATATATATATATATGGCAAACACATAACAACAACAACAAATTATATTTTTCAACATAATTAACTATTAAAACTCATTTTCTTAACCATTTAGGTGGTAGTCAAGTTATAAAAACTTGGGATTAAGGGGTTTGCTCCCTCTGTGGTCTCAGGTTCCAATCCTTAATTGCTTATATGATGGCCACTGGAGACTTACATGGTCGTTAACTTCAGGGCCCGTGAGATTAGTTGTGGTGCACATAAACTGGCCCGGACATTCACGTCAATCTAAAAAAAAAAACTCATTTTCTTATGATATAAAAACATGCCTTTGATTACAGGCCATTCCCAGGTCATTTTTATATATATATATATATATAGTTGATTTGATGATTAATAAGGTATGTTTCATTCGTTAATTTTCTAGATTTAAATTTTGAAATCAACTATAGAAATGTATTTTTAAAATTGTTCAAGGATGAAAAATAATATTTATTAAAGCGTAAAATGACCCGAATATATCAATAAATCAATGAAAAAAAAATCAATAATCGTTAAAAACTGCGCTAGATAAATTGAATAAAAGTACAGGGGAACAGCTAGAGAGAGAGTTTTAAGAGGGAAAATTTATGTAAAAGACAAAAGAATCAAAATGCCTTTGGCTCTCCAAACCATGTTCCTGAAGTGCATGAGCTACGCAGGCAGTTCTTGCAATATCAACAAAGTTAGTTCCATTAAAATTGCTAAGAAAGATCATTAAATACCGAAGTCCATAATCTCTCTCTCCCCCTCTCTGTCTCTGATATCTCCGCTCCTTAAACTAAAAGAAATGGAAATCCCTCGATTTCAACGTTCTAGTACTCTTGTTTTCACTTTCAAGTCGGAATTAATCAACTTCTTGTAAGTTATAATCTCTCTGCTGCTGCTGTAAAACAATTAAAAAGAAGGAGAAGAAGAAGAAAAATCTCCTATTGCTATCCATTGTTTCTGCTATGGCTTAACGATTACAACAAACTCAATTCACTCTCCACTCCTATTGCGATCCATTGTTTCTGCTATGGCTTCTACGATTACAACAAACTCAATTCACTCTCCAATCAATGCTTCTCGACTCTCTTCACTCTACTTGTCGCGTAACAGAATCTCGCCGGGTAATGTTTTATTCACAACCTCATCACAGTCGCTGCTTGCCACCAAAGCCAAGCGCTTCGCCTTCTCACCGTTTCCGGAGAATAGGAAATCTCTGGTCGCCAAGAAGTTGAGTTTCCCCGGTTGGACTCAACAGATTGGGCTAACAAGTTCCGTTGTTGTAAACGCTGCTGCTGATGCTGAAGGGTTAGAGTTTCGAATTTGCTTGTTCTTCTAAATTTTTTTTTTTTATAATAGTTGATTTTCTGTTTAGTTGCTGAGAAAGTGCTGGAAAAGAAAAGGGGTATAATTTTTTGACCGAGCTGACTTTTTTTTTTTTGAATTGTTTAAATTAAGACTAAAAAAGTAATTCAATTTGTGGAACCAGCTGTGTATCGTTACTGTTTAATTATTTGGAAAATTAGTGTTTTATTTATTTGTGTTTGTGAGTATAGGCATGCGGAGCCTGCAAAAAGCTTTGGTGAGAGATTTCCTGCTTTAGTTACAGGTTTCTTTTTCTTTACCTGGTAAGCGGTAAGCAGCAGCAGAAACTATCTCATTCATTAAATTTATTTATTTAAGTGATGTCATAATTGCTTTTATGACCTGTTTAGACACAAATGTACGGTTCGTACTCCCATAATTTACAGTTTGGACTTCAAAAAATTTGAGGCTCATTCTTTAGTTACTGCTGCAAGCAGCATTTAGGTAGCATTCGAGAGATCTGCTTATCATCCAGTTACGAATCACAGCAAGATTAATTTGCTTTGTATATGGATAAAGGTTGATTCGAGCTTCATCATTTATGGTTTGTTCGCAGGTACTTCTTAAATGTCATCTTCAATATACTCAACAAGAAGGTCTATAATTATTTCCCATATCCATAGTAGGTGCTCATTGATTTTGCTAGATGATTTTGCTCTTTTTCAAGTCGTTTATGGATTTGTTTCGTATTTATCTGCACCATCGAATTCCATTTACCCTATATGTTTTATCATTATCGTAACAACCGTAGATCTTGCTATGTTATTTCGTCACATTTGGAAGATATTTACCCTTTTTGCAGCTTTGTTTCTGTTGTTCATCTACTGGTTGGGGTGGTATATTGTCTTGTTTCTTGGGGTGTTGGTCTACCGAAACGTGCAGTAAGTTCAAAGTTTCTGCCTTCTCTATCTTTGCTCAATGAGGTACAGGAGGAACCCATTAATACGAAGTTTTCTCTCCATCCAGCCAATCGATAAGGAGCTCCTGGCACTTTTGACTCCAGTTGCTTTCTGCCATGCCCTTGGACATGTCATGTCCAATGTATCATTCGCTGCTGTTGCTGTGTCTTTCACACACACCATCAAAGGTAATCAATTTTAAAAGAAGCAAAAGCATCCTTTGTAAATTGATTCCATTGATATTTAGTATCTATCTGCAAGTACTCTAAATCTGCAGTTAGCCAACGCACGTACATCTACATAAGTTTGATCTTCAGTATTCATCAATACTTGGCATTCCAGGATTTTTTTAAACCAGGGTTATTACTACTAGTTGTTTCTTCATATCAAATGAAGGTTTACATTATCTTTATAGTTGAGAATGGATCATGAACACTCTTCAGATTTAATTTATCATTTTTCTTCCTTAGGCATGCCTTGAAAATTGTTTACGGATAATTTCCTTTATGGTAGAATTCAAATATTTACAAGCTGATTATGCTATTCCAAGTGACTTAAGTATGTTTCATTTATTCATACCGTTGTATTCATGCTTTTGATTAGTAACTTAATATCTTAGCAAGTTTGAGAAAGAGTTGAGGTTTAATGGGTTCCTAACTGTTTTACCTATGTTTCTCCACAGCTCTAGAGCCATTCTTCAGTGCTGCTGCTTCTCAATTTGTGCTGGGCCACCAGATTCCCTTGTCCCTGTGGTTATCATTAGCCCCAGTAGTTATCGGTAACTCATTACTCATATGACTTGTGTTTCTTCTACCAGCCTGTTCACTTTCTTTCAATTGCTATGACATATATCTTATTTCTCAAACCTGAAATATAAAAAGTTCATGGCATTTCTACCCATTTCACAAGCCTGATACAAATACATTATGAAATATGAAGGTCCATTTTGATCTTTTTACTGGGTTTGTGTGATTTCTATTTTAGGTGTATCAATGGCATCACTGACTGAACTTTCTTTCAACTGGACTGGGTTCGTTAGTGCAATGATTTCAAATATAGCATTTACCTACCGAAGTATTTACTCAAAAAAAGCAATGGTAAGATTACCCATGATGCCCGATCCTTGCTCTGATCATTTGTGTGAACTGCAACTCAGATTCCAGGCTCAAGTGTTCTGCTTATATTTCTATTTTTTACCCCAGTATACCGAGTCGGATTTTATAACCTATTGCAATGTTTTGGTTTCTAAAATGTCCTACGCTTTTCCTCTCTTCAAGATATAATGCATCAATGACCTTTTTTAATATTTGAAAAGGATCCTTGGGACTCGGATATTGTGGAATCAAATTACATTTTAAGATTTCTGTCAAATTAACCGCAATAAACTTCTTTAACTATGATGGGATGTTTGAACTTCCTTGCCGATTTAAGGAGGGAATTAAATTAGTTTCTTGATGTTATTGATTTGAATAATATTTAGTTAGTCTGCAGCGAGTTTTAAATGTAAAAAACCACAGTGATTTTTAGGAGTTTGACCAAAAACAGGTTGTCAGTTGATGGAGTGTATTTATAGTTCCAGTGGATTTATATTTCCTTAACCACCATTCTCCTTTTCACAGACTGGCATGGACAGCACAAATGTGTACGCTTACATTTCAATCATTGCTCTCTTGGTTTGCATTCCACCAGCTCTTCTGGTAAGTATACTTGCTACAATGACCAGATGCGATTTCGACATCTCTTTTGTTGGACAATTGACTGTTGGTTTATTCTGAGTCTGCTTACAGATTGAAGGCCCCCAGTTGATGCAACATGGTTTCGGAGATGCGATTGCCAAAGTGGGATTAGTTAAATTTTTGTCTGACCTCTTTTGGATTGGGATGTTTTATCATCTGTATAACCAGGTATCTCAAATTTACGATAATTAGGCTGGCCTTTATAGTAAACATATTGAAAAGCTATGGTCTTTCATGTATCCTGATGTCAACTTTTTTGTTTTCTTAACATGCTTTACTCTGTTTTTACCATCTGCTACCACTAAGCATATGTTTTAAATGGATCTGTTTCTAAGTGTAATATATATACTTTCTGCTGTTTCTACTTGCTTCAAAAATGGGGTTCCAAAGTGCGCTACAAGAAATTGCTACATCATCTTAGAAATTACGTTTGCCTACTAATAACGTACCAAAAGGCGTTTTGCTACTGCTAAAAATATTTTAGTGATTCGTGACACCATTGTTGACTCCTGATAAAGACGCAATTTGACCCATATCGTGCTGGTGATGCTTTACCTCTTGCTTTGTTCATTGCCTTTTTTATATGACCTTTTCTTTTTTTCCCATTGTTTCGCCCAGTAACTTTGAGCTTTCGATTGCAGGTTGCCACAAACACATTGGAAAGGGTTGCGCCGCTTACACATGCCGTTGGAAATGTATTGAAGCGAGTTTTTGTAATTGGGTTCTCCATTGTAGTATTCGGTAAACACTCATCTCCTGCGTGACTTCCATGCTACAGAATGGTAGTTCAGAAGAGATAAACTAATCACGTCTAACTGAACTCTTGCTTCGTATACTCTTCCCACCATCGTCAAAGTGTCGTGGAGAATATTAACCTGGGTTAAAAAGAAAAAACCCTGTGTCGTGAATGGTGGATATAATACAGAGAACTTTTGATCAATAATGGCCATGTTTTTTAATACTGTTATGTTTCCAAAATTTGGCAGGCAATAGAATCTCCACTCAGACCGGGATTGGAACAGCAATAGCCATTGCAGGTGTTGCCATCTACTCTCTAATTAAGGCCAGCATGGAAGAACAAAAGCGGGTAAGAATTCTATGTTAAACATGGCACATTGGTTATAATAGTTAGGCTGACGCATGCCTCCGTATCTACCGTACATAGCCATGAGCCATTACTCATTATAATAGTCAAGACAGGCATTGGTTTATGTAGAAGACGCATTGATTAATGCCTTTCAACCATGTAGAATCACTAGGGATGTAGTGAGCTAGGGCGACACTTATTGCATGCTTCTGACTTGGGATTCTGATAAACTGGCTTTCTTTTCAAGTTACATGAATAAGCACCATTTCCCATTGCCTGCATGAAGGTCAAAATTTAGTTACTGCTCCTCATTCTTTTTTGGACTGGCACCATACTCATGAACTCTCTCTTTAACCATTTTCAGAAGGCTGATAAAACTCATGCATCCTGAAGAAACACTGTTGGGCTAACTGAAAATGCAGAGCCCAGCATACGAAGAGCGGAGTAAGGTAGATCTTTGCGTTGAATCGTCCGAGCCGAATTAGTGAATAAGTTTACCCTTTTCTGTAATGGTAATTTGGCACATGTAATGGAAAAGCATATGAATTAAGCTGGAACAGTGGCATGGCCGAAGCCTTCTCAACCCAATTCCTCGCCTGCCCAATGACTCTTCATGCTACCTTCTCAAATCCGTAAAATTCAAACTGGAGTAACATCTTGAAGGTGCACCAACTCTATCCATATATTTTGATTTTTCGAAACTTCCCTTGATATAATAGAATTCTTATATGTGATTCATAACAAAGTCCAGTTAAGTTTTTTCCTTTTTTCTTTTACACACCTATTTCTACTTTTATTAAAATCTGTTTATAAATTTCAAGAGAGACTATATAACATACAATTCTTCAATCGGTTTTTACCCAATAAAAAAGAGCATATAGAATAGACTTACTAAGGTATTCATAACCTGTATGTAGTATCTTATTAGCTCTTTGTTTTGGTTACCAAATTTAAAAATGCTTGGAAACAAACTATTAAATATAGAAAAAAAAATTCACAACCAAGAAAAATAAAACCAAACATTATTCAATGTCATATATATATGACATTGAATAACAACCAAGTATATATATTGTCTATAACATATAAAAAAAAACTCTTAATAAATATTTTACAGAGCTTTTATAAGATAAATATAAATGGATTTTGTATTTTACCATTAATGGCCATAAATACTAATAGCATGTTTGGAATCAAATCAAATGTAGAATGTAATTGAATTTATATTTTTTGTATTTAAAATAAAATATTAAACCACATAATTGAATTCAATTCTGGTGCTTGGAATACTTGTGAAAATAAATTGAATTAGCAATATTGAATATTTTGCCCTTAATTTATAATTTATTTTTGTTGCATAAATCATTTTTTAGTTAAAAAGATCCTTATATTTATTTAAAATGATATAAAATATAGAAATTTTAAAGAAGATATAAATAGACCTGTGTCTATTAAATATTTTTTAAAAAAAAATCAAGAAAATATATATTAATTTATTAAAAAAAAACTTGCTGTTCTTGTTGCAGAGGGATCAAACAATGTCAGACAAGGCTACAGTAAAATTTACAGCAGTTCTCGAGTGTTCAAGCCATAACCACATGATAAAGAGCTAAAAGAAAACATAACCATCATGGAATTGATTCTTAATTCCCAAAAACAGAAAACAATGCTGGGGGATTAGTATTATGTCGCTCAACAAAAACCTCAAAAGATGGCAACCATGAACTTCCAAACAACTGCTAATATCTTATTTGTCACTATCAGCAAAACCAGAAAAAAAGAATAAAAAAAATGAGTAAAAAAAAAACATATCAAAGTAGCGAGGAACTTACAGGGAAGAGAGATGGGAAGAGACAGTGGAAAGTTTTGTGAGAAATAGGGTTTGTGTTTCTGGGAGGATTGAGCTTTTTGTTGTTTTAGATGGCTGATGAGATTTTTTTTTAAGTGTTTTTTATTTAAAATATATTAAAATAATATTTTTTATTTTTAAAATTTTAATTTTTAAATTAATATATTAAAATAATTTAAAACAAAAAATAAATAAAACAATTGAAGAAGAATACTAAACACCGTCATAGCGTAGTTCCCGTCCTTTTGTTTTGTACTGTGGGCTTCTTTTTGGGTGAAAATATTGGGCCCCATGCTGAGACACAAAGTGTTGTCAGCCCTCGTACGTTTTCACTTTGTCCTAGCTCTTGCTAATTATCTTTCCTTTTCTTTTCTTTTATGATAATTAGTTGGTATTATCGAATTACTATTCTAGAGCATGTTTTTTTACTTGGCTGCAACTGTGTTTTAATTAAAACATAATTTGCACTTATTTAATAAAAAAAAAAAAAATTATTATATATAAATTCTAAGTTCTATGTAATTTTAACACTTATAAATACTACTTTTCATTCATTGTAAATATTAATTTTATTGTTCACGTCACTGTTCACGTGAACAGTTCAATTTACTTGCACTGTTCCTACAGTTTTTTTTTATAGAATTCATTTAATTTTATTATATATTTTTAAGTGTTAATTTAATTAATGTTTTTTAAGTGTTAATTTTATTAATATTTTTTAAATGTTAATTTTATTAATGTTTTGTAAGTGTTAATTTTATTAATATTTTTTTAAGTGTTAATTTCATTAATATTTTTTATTAATATTTTTAAATTTTATTAATATTTTTTTAAGTGTTAATTTTATTAATATTTTAAAAAAAACTAGTTTATAGTAAATTAAATTTATTTGCACCGTGATGTGAATAATATTTTTTTCTCGAAAAACTAATATAAAATAAATTAAATTCACTTTCACTATAATATCAATTTTATACTTGATAATATTTTATCTAATTTTATTACATGTTTAAAAAATTATGAAAACTGTAATTTTTATCGAATAAATTTTATACGTAATGTAATTATAAATAGTTTAATAAAATAAAAAAAATATTTTATATAAAGTATTATTTATTTCATGATATAATAGGAGTAATTAATTCTATAATAGTTAAATTTAAAATCATCAATATTAATATATATTTTTAAAAATTATTTTATAACTTTAATTTCAAAAGTTTTTTTAACCAAATACATTAAATTATTTTTTTTTAATTTTAATTTCAACTACAGTTTTAATCAAATATCTATTTTTTCAAACTAATCTAAACTAAAAATACTTTAAAAAAAAATAATTTTTTTCAAATCATAACCATAATATCTACTACCGCACCAAACACACCTTTAGACACATAAGTTAAGTTGAATGGTTCAATCAGATATAGACTATTCACATCGAACAAATTCTATTTCCCGTAACCAGCTTGAAATTAAATCATGGTTGTCAGGGTGACCGCTCCTATCAATTCGGGGTCAAACCTATTGGATGTTTTTGATTACGTGGTTGGGTTTTGACGTTTTAGAATTGAAATCGTCACTGATTTATCTTTATGCATGTGCTGGTAATCACTTAGTAGTCGGCACTAGATTTTTTTTCCCCTCGGCTGTCAGGAGGGTTAAATTTTTTGAGATATTTTAAATAATGCTAAACTAAGATAACCTAGATTAATTTAATTAGCTTATAATTTATGATAATTTAAAAAAAAAAAAAAAAGAAATAATTTTTTTAAAAAATCTAAGTTATATTAACTAATTTTTAAAATCAACAATTATAATTATGAGATCAGAACAACCACATAAAAAATCAAAATAAATTTATAATAAAATGGTAATCATTTAAAAAATAAAAATAAATAAATAACAATCAAAATAATAAGATTTAAATTTGATATACAAATTAATATGAGAAAATAATAAAGACTTGATCGAAAAATAAAAGAAAAGGGATTAAAAAAAAGAGTAATTAAAAAAGTAAAAAGTAAATTTGAAATAAAATAAAATAAAATGTTGAATAATAACATTGAAAGGAGAAAAAAAAGAAAATGATTAAAAAAACAATTATATTTAATATAAAACAAAACAAAATGAAAAATGATGAAACTCAAAAAAATATAAAAAATTCAAAAAACATAAAGATTAATTAAAAGAAAGATGATTATAACCGAATTCTTTCTCTATTATTTTTTTTTATCAAAATATTACTATTTTTACTTTTTAGTTAGATAAAAAACCAAATGGTTGGCCTGAGCATATCAACACCTGTTAATTTTTTTTATTATTATTTTTTATCAAAATAATATTATTTTCACTTAATGTGCAATAAAAAAAATCTAATTGACCTTAGTAACCCCAGTTATCCAAACAAGAGATGATGAGGAACGAATCTCGGACCGGATGTTAAAAACAAGATAAAAAAAGTATAAAGTAAAATATAAAATTTTAATAAAATTAAATAATGAGATATGAAATTGCAACAAAAGAATTAATAAAAAAAACTAAAAATAAAAGGAATTGTAATCTTAAATCTTGAGAACGAGGATCAAATCCAACAACAACAAAAATTAAAATTAAATGATTAGATATTAAATAGAAAAATAGAATTCAATTAGAAAATAATTAAAAACAAAATAAATAAAAATTAAATTTAATAAAAAAATATAAAAAATATTTTGTAATTTTATAAGATCATCACACTTTTTAAAGTAGAGAAGGAAGGCAAAAAATTATCGTCAAAGTTTTTTCGTGCCATAGCTGCTTAGATGCGCTGCTCCAGACGATGCCCCAGAAGGCTGCTAGCAACCACTTTTTAAAAAAAATTATAGAAAAACTATAATACCTTTTACCCGAAAGATAATTGCAGTTAAAAAACCAAAAGTACCCCATGCCTCAGGGGTAGAAAAAAGTTAACTCAGGAGCTATGCTGTAATTACACTTTATAAAAAATATAAAAATTCAAAAACACCCAGACATTAGCTTCTTTTTTTTTTTTTAAGGACATGAGAGAAATCATACCGTGTAATAAATATGCGGAAATAAAATTTTACCCTTAGATGTATGTTTATTTTTATTTTTTTATCATTGAAATACCTAAAACACTTGTATGTTTTAGTTTTATTTGTAATACGAAATTAGGATGTTTTAAAATTGACCAGCGCGTCCAATTTGGAACATCAAAGCAAGTAAGCTTTTGTAGAGGATAGCAAATTTAAGTTGCTTTCGTTTGAGCTCTGTTCTGTAAGCGGAATCGCAGGGCTGGGGCCATTTCCATCAACGAGGTTCCTACATCGATGATGACTGGTTATAGCTGGACCGTAACGATCAAGATGGGAGCTCCCGCACCTTCCTCGTGATCTAGCCCAGCAAAAGTTCGATCCTGCTGCCCAGAAGAATACCATCAACGCATGGAGGAGGGCAGAGGAGGCATCTGCCTTTGTGGTGGTGGTCCAATTATTCTCCTTTTGGCCTACTGGTAGAAACTTCAAAACCACGATCAAGCACGTTAGAAACTGATCATCGCCTAAAGTGATCTAAAAGCAAGTGTATAATTTCAAAGGGAATACGACCAAACGTTATTCCCTTTGGTTCCACCTAACTTTCGATTGTTTTCTTGACCCCGTGAGTAACCAAAGAGGCACTCTGTTTCTTGTCCTTTTAATTTATTAAATACAACCTGTTATGCGTTGTTGTTGATAACTCACTCGTATGATTAGCAGTGTTTTGCCTGTTCAGAGGATGCTAGTCTGCCTTTTACCCTTCCTGGCAGCCTAGCATTGGCGTAGATTCTTTTTAATAATCTACAAGGATGGCTCAGGGAAATCTCTTTTCCCCTTTACATGTATTATAATTTTATTATT